GCACTAGGGATCAGCCTGCCAACCAGAGGCTGCTCTGCCCTGACTCAATGTGCTATGGAGCGACTGGCTGGGGCATGAGGGTGTTCTGTGTGAGACTAGCTGGCAGGCAGCCCCCACACTGAATCACTCTAGTGCCAGCTAGGGCAGTGTCTACATGTGCAGTGCTGTGGAGTAAATACAAGTATGATCCTGCTGTGGAGTTAATTAGTTTACTCTAGCTTAATAGGGGTGCATGTGTAGATGTGCAACATTTATTTCACAGCTAATTAGTCTACAGTAAATGTTTCATGTAGCTTTGCCCAGAGTCAGGCAGGACGTAGAGCAGGGTAGCACCTTAGAGACTAACTGGTTCGGAGTACATGGTCTAGTGTATGCAGTATTTAAAGAATAAGTATTCTTTACACATTTTCAATAACATTTGGATTTGGTATAAGGAAAAAGATGTCTCTTACTGGGAACTTTTTAGTAACTGGATTTACGTTTTAGTAATCTAGCAAATGCAGTCTCTACTCAGAACTAAAATGTACTACTCTTCAGTTAGTTTGAAAGGTCACATGTACCTTTTCACAAACACTTGTCAGCCTCCCACTATACAATTCAAAGCACCTAATTACCAAGCCAGTAGTCATTATCGGTAAACTTTATAATTAAAAATGTCATTTCAAGCTGCTGTTCATCCACTGGAAAATATTATTATTTATTACTAATGAGAGGGAATGTGTTCCCATCTGTTTCTTTACTGTGTGCACACCACATGCCTCTCTCTGGAAAAATGGAGATCCCTCTGTCTGTGTGTAATTTATTCTCTAGGATTAGCTAGAATTAACACCTGGATTAATAAACTCAGTGCTTTTCAGGAACATACCTCTAAAAAGATTTACTTGAATAAGCCATTATAGATGTGTCTCTTTAAACTGTATTTTGCTGACCTAAATTACAAGAAGCTCTAAATACCTGTGGCCTTGCTGTAGCGTTATTTACAAAGAATCGACAAGTAACCTATTTCACTCTAATTGGCCACATAGCTGTTAGACTGATCATAGTTACAGTATTCATTAAACAAATGGAAAACCAGCTATACATTAGTTTACTGATACTACCTAAGGCTTATTTGGAATCAAATGTAATAACTAGAAGCCTTTCAAAATAGCACCTATCACCACTGCTGGAGAAAGATTACTATTAATCCCTAAAGATCTGCTGGAGTCTACAAAAATACTGATTTTTAACTGAATCCAATTGTATCATTTCAAATTAGCAGTTAGAACAACAAAATCTGTAAAATGTTCAGATTCCTGATGAAGGACACAGTTTTTTTCTGACTTGGAGACTCCAACAGGTGAAATATGAACCCAGAAAGAATGGAAATTTTCTGCTTTCTCTGCACTACCCTTCAGGCCTGTTTATCCAGCTGTGAGAGTATTGTTCCAGGGTAAAAATGGTATTTCTGTGGCTTCAAACTGCTGTGAGCTGTATACCACTGTCCAGGCCGCCTGCTGGAAATTGGACCTGTCTCTGTCTGTTCTGTGATCTTAATTTTTTAGCTCTGGAGTGCTCTTTGCATCCAGTATGAAGGTGAAACATCTTTAACACTGGGAAAGAGGGACAGTGTATTGGGAGTTGCTGCAGAACATCTTTTACACTCCCACGCTAGAAAGTGTGCAAGAGGGGAATAGCTACTCAAAGCCACACATTTCCTCTTGTAGCTGGGCAGCCTACTCACTGCCCATTATGCAGAATTATGCCTATGAGTGCAATCTAGCCCTGCATTGGTATGAGTTTGTCAGCAGTTTGTTTGCAAGGTAATTACTGTAAATAGCCTCAGCAATCCAAGAGTGGCATATTAAGAAATTCCAAAAAAATCACAACCCTCCCCCCCGCCAACCAGTCAGAGAGGCAGAGTATAGGCAAATGCAGGGTTACTCCAGTTGCTTCACTAACAGACTTCAGATCATATTTAGCTGTGCTGTGTTTTATCTGACAATGAGAAAAGAAGAAGATAAATGGTTTGGTGGCATTTGGGCCTGTCAAGGTCAGAACATGCTACCAATCATAGGTCATTCTAGCAGGTTTTATTGCTGTTCTTTTTATGTGATGTCTGCTTATATTAATTAGCAGCAAAATTGACACTTATTTCTACCAAAGTGAAATGGGGAAACCTTGCCCAGACCGAGTAAAGCAGCAAGTGCCCTGGTAGTCTGAGACAGAAATATGCCTAAAAGGGGAATCTGATGCAGTCACAACGAACATTACTATAGTTCTGCATTAACTCTTTTAGTGTATTAATAACTTAATACATTTCAGAGGGAAAAAGGAGTTGCTCTGAAACTTCCTAAAAGAAGAAAGACTGGATGGTTTAGCATAAATATATTTTTGTGCACATGAAGGAAGGGAAAAAAAGCATCTTATTGCTCACAAAAACAACGTGTTGTATTTCTCTATCTGGGAAAAAAAAAGAAAATCTCCAGATAAAATTAACTATATTCATCATATCCTGAGCATATGATCTCTACCTGTTGACACCATCCAGCCTGTTGTATCTCTTTCTTTCTTAATTCTGTCAACTAATTATCAATGGAACAAAAAGTGTGACAAATGAACATTAACCTGTCCAGCCCACTTCCATTTTGTCTCATGAGTCAGGAGAGATCTGGGCCACAACTGAAAGGGAAAGTACAGATTAAGAGCTAAATGCATATTTAAAAAATCAACAAATGCCGCTTTCTACAGAAGCCTTGAAGAAGTACTCATTTCCCATAATCCGTTCCAAAACTCAGTATGAATGAACCTTTAAATAATTTAACAAAGAGTATTGTTTAAGGTCTATGCCCTGCCTTTCACCCAAAAATCTCAAAGGATTTAAACTTCACAACACACCACATAAGCAATCCTGATTCTTTTGTTAAAAGCAAACGAATACAAACAAAAAATGACCCCTTTCCTATCTTAAATGGAGAAATATGACGTTCTCTGATTTTGGATGATTTAGATTTTGAGGTCTAGCTTCAGAGCTGTCAGTGCTGATTTTCAGAGGCACTGAACACCATCAGATCCAATTAACCATTATATGTTCAGTATTTCTTAAAATAAGGCCCTCAGTATCTCATTGAGATGCCCAAGCCAACAGAAATACCCAAAGTGGGCACATTCCCACAAGTGGGAACATGCATTCCCTGGGAACAACTAGTAGCGGCACATATTTGTGCCACTGCTAGTTGTCCCTGGGGAATGCCCCTGCACGAGTGCGCTGGTGTATGACAAGTTGCCCCAGGTTGGGTAGGGGAGGCTAGAGCCAGCACCTGGGCAGGCCCCAACAGCAGCAGAGATCCAGGTGTGCAAAGCCTGGCTGGCAGCCAGAGTGTGGCTCTGGATGGCCAGGCTCTGGTTTTGGGCAGCGTACACTGCTGCCATGTGCACCACCCCACTTCTTTCTGCTGCAGGTTTTTTTTACACCCGGATTTCCCGGTATCAAAAACCCCCACCACACTGCAAATTAGCAGAGCACTGAACGTGTACAATCACTGCAAACTGCATGTGCACGCTTATCTGGACATACTGAGTTTGGCCTGACTTGTCCTGGATACAGAGCTAATCGGTTGCATTATTAACAGAATGCAATAGCAATGCACGTTCCATGTTTACCATACAATCCAGAATCTGAATGATGTCAGAGTAGGAATATGGAGTTCACACAGTCTCTGATCTCCTCTTCTCACTGTATCCTTCTTACAACTTCTCTCATCCTACACACACAGGCCTCACATTGCATTAGATATCCTTAGTAGGCTCTGTTCTCTTGCCACATACCATCCCCTTGTGGCAGACAATGTCTTCTGTACCATTGGTCTTCAGAGATTCTGCACAGCCACTTCCCCACACAGAGTTTAGCTGGAGAGTTTTGTTCAAGTCACCGCTTCAAAATTCATATGGTGCATCTGGAAGTGCAGACACCTGATCATCCCTTGCATATTAACTAGGCAATATTGGAAAGTAAGTGAGTGTATAGATGAGAAATCTCTCAAAGTCTTCCTTTCTATTGTACTAAGGATTTGATGGAGCACTTTTTCCTACTTTCTAATAAAGTATTCCTTCTGTTTAAACTATCCTACTTAGGAGTGTATCCTGAACGCCTACAGACTTCACATCCATTAGGAGGCAGTGTTCCACATGAGATGGAAGGCCCTGGTGAATGAAAAGCTGCTTGGTGAATGGAAGACCCAGGAGAGGGCCAAATAGGCTATTGCCTCAAGAAGGTGGTCCCTCTGAAAGCAAATGGCCACAAGTGACTGTGGGTATCTTCTGGAAACCTGAGTCTATGTGAACCAATCCAATTCCAAGACTTTACTTGCTCGTGAGCACTGTCTTAGTTCTAAGAACCAATCACTAAATTAAATAGCAAATCAAATAATCAATAGTATTGCAATAAGGGGGAACCCTTCCACTCTTGAAGTGATGTAAACAAGGAATGTCTATGAACCAGACTTTTATCTCTTAATGCTTTTTGTTTATTTTACTAAGCTTAAAATAGATATTTGGTATTGGTTTGGAGAATATATCGGTAGGTACAGCTCCCTTCATTGGCAGTGACTTATACTTCTCCATTGATATATGCCTTAGTATTGAAACTCTGTCCTGCCAATTCTTTAAACCAAAAAACAAAATGTTGAGGTACAGCAACCAGAAAAACTCTGCTGGTTAGTATTTAGAGTCAAGTTGTCCTTTTGACTGTTAAACCAACTTAAATTACAGAAGGCTGCAAGCTGTTATGGAACCTGTAAGCTAACTTCCATAGGGCTAGTGTCACAAATGATTGTTCAGCATCCCAGTGGCAGGAAGCAGAAGACCCAGAAAGACTTACTTTAATTAAAAACTTTATTTTTCATTACAGTTCACAGTTTATACATGGCAAGAGGAGCTTCTCACCATGTGGACGTTCAGAACACTGCACTGGGGAAGAAAGGGATCTTTTTCTTTTATAAGAGCATGGCCTGATACTACTTCATAGAATGTCCCTCCTTGTAAAAGCATAGTGTCTGTAAATGCTAATTCATAGATATTTACACTCGTAATTTATATTCATTAGAAAACAAGCTTAAGCATCCAAAACATTGACATTTATATTTTGTAAGTATGTTATTAAATGATCAGAGATGCTATAAGATTTGCCATTTGAATCATGCCCAATCAACAAAGTATTGTTTTATTCTTTAATTTACACAGAGCCTAAATTATTCTTTTAGGGCCTGATATAGTCATTTTATGTACAGCCAGGTTACAATAGACTAAAATAAGAAAAAGAATTAAAAAACCCAAAATGACCCATTCCACATGTTCGCCCTGTATTCCTTCTGACTCTCACACACAACTATAAACAAAAGAGCAAAGGATACAGAATTAAAGACAATGGGTTTTTTCCCCTTTAAAGAAAATAGAGAAACACCGTGGACTGGTTTCAAATCTGCATATCATCAGCCTATCCTTGTGGAATACTTATCCGTATTCAGCTTGTGCTATTTATCAGCTTTCTTTTATGTCTGTATTTGCATTCAGAAAAATCTGTATTTATAAAGTACAAAGACACAGTGATACCAGGTTCAAATGCATTCCCACATTAGTCACACCTCTAGCACAGGTAGCAGCTGTGCAATGTGACATTTGGAAAAGCACTCTGGCAAGATAACTGTGTAAAATATAATATGGCATCTGATGTGACTTGTCTTAAAGAGAAAGTTTAGAATATTTTCAAAGAGCAGCTATCTGGCAGCAGCTTTATATCTATTAAAAATGTGATAGTATTTTCTGTATTGTTTTCACAAATGTGATTATTAGAATGCACCAATTCAAAGTATGATGTTTCCACATAATATTAATATCTATTTGCTCTTGTCATCTACCAAATAATTTAGTTATCAATAAAAATGAAGATTTTTTGGTACATCTATTACGCAGGATAAAACTGCTGAACACTGCTTGAAAAATATGATCTGAAGTAGATCCACAAATTCTACAGGCCTGGTTATAATATATCATCAGGACCTGAGTAAAAAAACTTTCAGTGGGCATTTCTGCAACTCTTATAACTTCAGTGCCTTTAAAGCTAAAGCTAGGAGTGTTGCTTTCAGTTTTGGCCTCCATACCCAATGCTGGTATCTTCGTTATAGACACCTTGAAAACATTATGATTTCAGGCAGGATGGACATTCAAAAGAAATACATTGCTCATGTAAAACAAACAAACAAACAAACAAAAACCATACACGAGTTATAGAGGTTCTGATTTTTTTGTTTTGTGTTTTTTCAAAAGATAAGGCACTGACAAAAATTTCTTAGGTAAAAGGCTGCATAAGAATTTCTTGCCATTTACAAATATGCTGTAGTCCATAAATGGTTCATTCCTAGGCTCAGTAAGGTAGACCCTGAAAAGTTAAGGACTGATCCCTCAAAGCTACATTGTTAACATAAACAAGTATAATCCATTCTGTAGGCCATATGGCACATTAGGAGAAATGAAAAACAGTCTGGGCACAAAAGGCATTGTACATTGCTTGTTCCACCATCTATCAACAATAGAAGTGCCATTTATCTTGTGTTTTTGATGAGATATGATAATGATTCTGAATTGTGGTTTCTGCTGAACTCATGCACATGTATAAAATGCTATTAGCATCAGTCATGGACAGGAAAAAAAAGGAAGTATACGGCCAGTCTAAGCAAGAGTTTCTCCACAGGTTGGGATCCAAAGTCATGGCTATTTAATGTTTTCAATAACAGCAATCTCTTCTGCTGCACAGTGAGGAGTCAAACCATTCATATAAATGCTGTCAGTCTTTGTTAGAGCTGGCAAGATGTCCTTCTCACTACTTAGGTGGTTGACGGACAGGGTTCTCTTGCAAGGAGTCAGATCTTGACTGTGGTTGACTGCAAGTTCTGCAGAGAGCTTCCTTTTGATGGAGGTAGCCCGTTGAAACTTGTCATAAATCTCTACACTTAAACGTCGGCGGGTTTCTTTGAACTCTGCTGTGACATTGGCTGTCCATTCGGCAGCATGAGCTCTGAACTCTCCTACCTGCAGTACACACAACAAGAGAGAGAGATTACTGGACTTGTACTTTAAGGACTGCTTACATTCAAGAGCACA